GGACACTCACGTGTTTAATCCGGCCACCATTTCCAGGGGGATCCTGACAAGCAGCTGTTGGTCATTGGCCGAGGGCTTTACCTGCAGCTGCAGGATGTTAGCTGTGGTGACCTTCAGCCTGGATGGGAATCAGGAGAGATCAGAATCATGCCTTCTCCTCATTGTTTCCAAGCCTACTCCCTGTCTATCTTTCCCATCTCCGTGGGGTGCTTGGGCAGCAGTGGAACCCTAGTCCTGTCCAGTTCTCTCTAGGCAGTCTTGCCTCCACCGCGCTCACAACACTGCCATGGTGCCTTCTCTTCAAAGTGGTGAATCCCAGCTCCTTGAGCTGACTCATAAGACCCTCTGTGACCTGTCCCTGCTGATCCCTTACTCCTCACCTTGAGGTCTGAGCTCCAGCCATTCTGACTATCATTTCTTCATGCCTTTGCCCAGGCTGATTTCTCTACCTGGATGCCATTTGCTTCTTGTCTCCTGGTGACCATTGAGTCCTTGGCTCAACTGTCACCTCCAGTGAGAAGCATCACCTCATCCCTTCCCATTTTTTTAAGACAGAGTCTCACTCTGTAGCCCAGGCTGGAGTGCAATGGCGTGATCTCGGCTCACTGCCACCTCTGCCTCCTGGGTTCAAGTGATTCTTCTGCCTTGGCCTCCCTAGCAGCTGGGATTACAGGCACCTACCAGCATGCCAGGCTAATCTTTGTATTTTTAGTAGAGACAGGGTTCTGCCATGTTGACCAGGCTGGTCTCGAACCCCTAACCTCAGGTCATCCACCCGCCTTGGCCTCCCAAAGTGCTGGGATTACAGGCATGAGCCACCATGCCCGGCCTTGCTCTGGGTTGTTGTATTAGCGTTCCTGCGTCATTGTATTACGGTTCTTGTTAACTATTCTGGGAGCTTCTGGAGGGAGAGGCTTTGCTTGCAGACCGGCTGACTGAGCATGCAGAATGTGTCCTGGGCAGAGGTGTGGGCAGGGGCTAGCTCCTGGTGTGGTCCCACTCCACTCACCAGATGATGCGCTTCAGGATGGTGTTCACCAGGCTGCCCAGCACAGGGATGCCCCCGGCTGGCTTCTCTTGTATGGCACTGAGCAGCGGCAGCTGCTGCAGGATGCTGGCGGCGTGGTGATCCTTCAGCTCCTGTGTCAGCTCTGGAGGCAGAACCCAGGAATTAGGGCCCGAGAGGAGGGGCAAGAAGCAAGGCTTGGTGGGGGCTCCAGGCTGGGGAGACGTATCACTCGGGGCTCCCTGAGATAAGACGAGGGTTCAGCTATCTCTACTGTGATGGAGGTCAGGACCAGCTTGCCAGTCCCCACAGTGTAGATGTAGCCTTGAGGATAGTGGCCCAAATGGGTCGTTTTCACGTCAAGAGTGAGGCTGGGGTCATTCACATGCCTAAGCATTGCCAGCCTCTGTGAGGAGCATCAGCCACTACACACAGCACCTGGACCTACACTCGTCCCCCATAACCAGTGGCAAGCACTTCCAGGCCCAAGAGCCAGGGAACCCACAAAGCCCTGTTTGGGGCTGTTTTGCTGCCAAAGCACACTTGTTAGCAATTGTCTGGCATCCATATTCTACAGGAGTATGGTCCAAAAGCCTCAGGTGCTGAGCAGAGGAAGGAGGGGCCAGGACAGAGGCATACGGGTCAGGATCCCTGGATTCTGGTCCCAGCCATGAGCAGCTGGAGCCCATCCGGCTCCTGCGCAGGGCAGGTTAGAGGTGCTGGAGAGCTGATGCCCTAGGAGCAGAACTCAGCCAGTGATTGGTGAGAATTGGTGTATCAATACCTCAGCTCCCTCACCCCTCAGTCAGGATGGCTCAGATGTGTGTCCCTTACTGTGTTTCAGAGCTCCTGTGTTACTGCCTCTCAGCTGCAAATCCACCCGCTTTGCCTGCGGTGGTAATGGAGCTGGGCCCTGTGAATATTCCTTCTTTGCCATTTGGCACAATGTTAAGCCTTTTCAGTGGAGGCTCTGGAGGGGTGCTGGGGAGGGAGGGGCTTCCCCTCATGGCACTGGTATGCTCCTCTTACCAGGTTCCTATGGTGCCACTGCCCAGTGGCTTTTGCTGAGTGAGTTCTGCGGGCACCCTGGCTAGCTTCTAGGTGGTTTCCCAGAGATAGCTTCCCCCCTCCTCCAGGGGCAGCTTCCCAGAGACTTTCATCAGCTCCCTGGCAGGTAGTTCTCTGCTCACTAGCCTCAGTTTGCCAACTGTGGCCCAGCTCTGGCCTGGGACAAGCCAGCAAGCTTCTCAACCACAAGCTGGGCTTCAACCACACCCTCTGCAATGAGGGCTGGGGAGGATTCTTTGCTTGTAAGCTTGCTATGTCCTTGGCTACCCCTTTCATCCCTAGGGTGTCCTTTAGAGCTCGCTCTCTCTACCCTCTTAGTCAATTCTCCATTCCTCCAATCTCCTGGTAATACTTCTTTACATTAAACTTACCTGTTGGGATGACCGTGTGGTTTCTGTCTTCTGATTGGCCCTAACAGATGTAGTTGCTAGGCAGGACTGAGCTCCAGTCCCCACAGTGGTACCTGGATTGGACGTGCTTGGGATGCCTTCCCTTCCCTACCTTGCCTCGCCACACTCCTGTAGGTGTTTCTGGGATTATCATCAAAACCAACCACTTGCATACAACTCCTTTTAGGAGAGCCTAAAGCATGATTATTCATCTCTAAGCTCCTTCTGGCTGAAATTCCACAGACTTGAGCTTCATAGTTTGGACCCAGCCACCTCTGCCTCCCTCCAGCTTCCCAGAGCTTGCTGCGTCCTGTCCTTACTTGGGACTCCATCCTCTGGCTACAGAGCCTGTTGGTTCCACAGGACCTGCCCCTGCCCCTGTGGCCATGACCCAGCCCCGAGTCCCCTGAATGCAAAGGTCTGGTCCTCTGAGTGCTCAGGTGGCTCTCCAGAGTGGACAGATGAGTCCCCTCTAAGGGAATGACACTTTAGAGCAGTGGTTCTCCATTGGGGTGATTCTGCCCCCTAAGAGACGTTTGCCAAAGTCTGGGGACATTTTTGGTTGTCACAGTTGGGTTAGGGAGGCTGTTAAGCATCCTACATGCCCAGGACACCCCCCACAATAAAAAGCTGTTTGGTCCGCAGCATCGGAAGTGCTGAGTTGAGAAGCATGGTCACAGCCTTCATAAAGATCCAGTCAATTCCAGCGACCCAGTGAGGAGAGGTAGGCCCTCTTATTTGTGTCCCGAGGAGGAAGCCGAGGCCCAGGGACAGGCCCAGTGCCCCTGAGCTGGAGAGTGAGACATTGTGCCTGGGGCCCAGGCCGCCACACTCACAGTCAAGGGTCTTTGCTGTGGGGACAAGGAAGATGCTAGGTTTAACTAAGAGGGGGTACTCTGAGGATGGGATTTCAGGTGAGGGCAGGGGGAGGGGCAGCTGCATCACTGCATTCAGTGGCCGCATACTCCTTCTGCAGTCTGTGGAAGCTCAGGGTTTTGGAATTGTGAAATTTAAGAAGGGAATCTTGGAATCGTGGACTCTTGAGATCACAGACACTCCAGACCTTTATAACTCACTCATGTTCACCCAAGTCCTGGGATTTCAGCCATGCATTGCACAGTCCCCGTGATGAGGAGCTCTCTCTCTCCTTTGGGAGGCTGCTCCACCTTCCCCCTTGTCTTAGGGCGGCCAGGTCATGAGGGCCAAAACTTACTTTCTTTGATGACTTTTGGACCGAGGATGAGAACCCCAGTGGGGCTGAGGGTGGCTTGGATCATGGTGGCTGCCAGCAAACTGCAGAGAAGGGTGAAGGTCCACGGGCCGGCCATCTTTCCAGGCATCAGAGAGCAATGTGGCAGATGCCAGACCAGACCTGGGGTAAGCACAGAGAGCCCTGAGGCAGAGAGGCCAAGAGCAGGCCCACGACACCTGGTGACCTGGGGCATGGTGTCCAGGAAAGGCTGCTGAGTGCAGTGGTTAACTGCCTGGGCTCATGTGGCCAAATGGGCATGATGACCCCTACTTCACAGCGTTGAGTTAATATCTGGAAAGCATTTGGCACACAGTGTCTTTCACACATAAGCACTTGGAATATATTAGCTATTTCCTTACAGAACATCCAGCAACAATCCTCAGAACAAAGCGCTTCTGCTTCCTGGGTCCCCCATCCCTCAGTCCGACACTTCAAATCCGCTATGGTCCCTTCTCCACTGACCTCATCTCCTGCTTTCTCTCCCCTTGTTCTAGCAAGTTCCAAGTGGCTGGAAGTTCCCAGAACATACTCTCTTCTCTCTGGGTCTGTGCCTTTGCCCTTGCTCTTCCTGCTTCCCGGAATGCTTTTCTCCTCCCATATCTCCCTGATGAACTCCTATTCATTCTTTAAAACCCTGCCAAGATTTTTCACTTTCCCTGTAAAGCTTCCCCTGCCCTGCAGACAGGGACCCTGGACCACACTTGGAGAAACGCTGTCCTGGGGTCCAGGACATGAAGGTTGGAGGCAGGAAGGAAACGAGGAGCCAGGTAGGACTCAATGTTGTGAAAAAGCTGTTTGTTTAATCCACAATACTAGGGAGGCTGGGGAGGGGTTGAGTGGCTCCTTGGAACCAGGGAAAAAAGGGCAGAGACAGAGAGAGAGAAGAGAGAGAGAGGGGGGAGAGAGGGAGAGAGAGAGGAAGAGAGACGGAGAGAGAGAGATGGAGAGAGGGGGAGACAGAGAGAGAGAGAGAGAGAGAGAGAGAGAGAGAGAGAGAGAGAGAGAGAGAGAGAGAGAGAGAGGAGAGAGAGAGAGAGAAAGAGAGAGAGAGAGAGAGCGAGAGAGAGAGAGAGAGAGTGCCTGTGGCCCATGCTGGGGAGAGGAGCTTGGGGGTATTCTAGTCCCTTGGCTGCTCTGTCTCCTCCCTCCACAGGGGTGAGGCATCATCACCTGCAACCCAGTCCCAAGCTCTCCAGCTCGCACCCTGGCTTTGCCTGCCAGCCCCCCATGGAACTTCCTGCCCTGTGGACTGTCCTGCTTGGAGGGAGCGGAGATGCTGACCCAGAGATCTGAGTCGTTGCTTGGTTTAGCATGTGGGTTTCTTAACTGTATGCATGTCGTCAGGCCCGAGGGCCCCTTCCAACCTTGACAAGGGGAGTGCTAACCTTCTCTCCTTTCATACAACACAGCATGTGGCTTTCTTGTTGCCAAAGACAAATATGGCATCTGGATGACATGTCTCCTGTGCCATGGAGCAGTGTGAGCTCTTCTGAGGCCCTTGCAATAATGAGTCAGCCTCTGCCTCCCTGACCAGCCTGTGAGCTCTGGGAGGGAGGGCTGGGTCTGCCTGCTCCCTGCTGTGTCCCTGACATCCAGCATAATGCTTGGCACACAGCAGGTGCTTAATAAATGGCTGCTGAATAAATGCATAGCCCCCGGAAGCCCTGAAAGAATTGGAAAGCTGAGCCTGCTAAGCTGAACACGTTAGCGTTAGGAGGCCTGAGGGTGGAGGGGAAAGTACCACCTGCTTGGCAGCCGGATGGACCCTGGTTGGAGGCCGCTGCCACCACTTGCTCTGTGATCTTCGACAAATGACTTACCATTTCTGAGCCTCCGTTTTCTCATTTGTAAAATGGGGAATAATTATGGTACTTAAGTAGCAGCAGACTTTTGGGGAAGATTAAATGAGACAGTCTATTCATGGCCTGGCATACCCAAGCGTTCAGCACGTGGTAGCTTCCATTACGATGATGACAGCTATTATCACTAAGATTGGAGTCAGAAGGAGGCATCGTGCAGCCAAAGCCAGAGACAGGTGAAACTCCCGCATCCAGGCGCCCCTGCAGCCCCACTCCATATTTTTCTTGCAAACACCTTGACCCTGTGTGTCCTCCAATATCTCCACACACTGCTCTGTGCTCTTCAGATCGGAGGAAGCCAGGGACCCACGAGGATGATAGCGTCCCCTTTTCCCTCCTGTGGAAAAGCCTCTCCTCCGCAGATCCGGCGCGGCACACGCCCTGCCATCGGGCACCTCCTGGCCTTTGCTGATGCTCATCCCCTTTGTGGAATGTCTTTCTCTTTTCCTTTTCCCAACCACCCTCTACTTGGCTTTGCAACCAACAGGTCACCTCTTCCAGGAACGCTTCGTTTACTGTCCTCCACTCCTATGTCCCTGGGTCTTCCTTGGGCTCCACATTATCCTACACTGGGAGTTCCTGGAGGGACAAACTCTGTAACTAATGCTTCTTTTGCCCCAGCATCACCTACCACAGCTGGGCACAGAGCAACTGGTATGTGCAGAGTGGTTTATGTCCCTAGGACGAGGTCAGGACTCAGCCAGCCCCATCCCTTCGTCACCACTCTTCGGTCCTCTGAGCAAGGGAACTGGGTACCTTTCTACACCTGTCCCTGATCCTCAGTGGATCCTGACTCACCCAGGGCCCTTCCCGGGGAGGCAAGCCTCCCCTGTGCTCCTGACCTGAACCCAACAGGTATCTCTAGCTCGGAACCTTCCTGGAAACCTAGGCTTTCAGCCCTTCCCTGCTTTTACCTGGGCACGCTGGAGTCCTCGGCCTGCTCCTCTCCTCTCCCAGGCAGTGAGTCTGGAAGTCCAGTCTTATATCCTGCACACCCCAGCACAGGCTTTGTCTTTGGGCAGGGGCCTCAGACCAGGCCAAGGTCTCCAAGGTAAATATTTGTGGCTTCAGGTGAACCACAGCCCCGCCTGGAGGCAACCTTGGGACTCCAGCTTCCTGAGGCCTGGAGAAAGGAAGGTCCAGGCTGAGAAGAGCACAGTGCATATGGCAGAGTAAGCACTCCGTAAATGCGAGTGGCTGCTGCTGTTCATATTATTAGTGCTCATAACAGGATGAGCCTTTGTAGAGGGGTTACAGCAATTGTTTAGTCCAGATAATCAACTTGAGAAAAGGAGGGAGTAGCCTTGTTCCTAAATGTGTCCGGGATACACATCTCCATCAATTAATTCACCCAAGAGAATAGATTTGAATCCTTTTTTTTGCCACTGCTTTGCTGTGTGCCCTTGGGCAAGGTACTTCACCTCTCTGGGCCCCACTGACCTCATCTATAGTATGGAGATAATAGTAGCTCCTCCTCATAGGCTGCTAAAAGCATGAGCTGAAGTGCATGCCTATACAGTGCTTAGCACAAGCTTTCATTTCATTCATTCATTCATTCGTTCCACAGCAATTAGAACCTGCTCTACCTTGTCTGCATCTTTAGGAGTCTCCGTGAGCACTTGTGGACTGAAAGAATAAGGAGGCATGACCATGAGCCCAAAGGACAGATGTCCAAGCCCAGCAGGACCCAGCCTTGACTCATGCAGCCTGCACAGTCACCCAGAGGTGGGCGTCAGCAGCATTGATGTTACAGAGGGCACCTGAGGCTCAGAGAGGTGAGTGACTGGCTCAAGGTCACAGGACTAGGGCTTTCAGCTTTGGGACCTGAGCCTGATCATCTAGTCCAGAACACACTCTCTTAATGGACACACTGTCCTTCCCCAGAGACTTCAACTTAGCATTAGAGGCGGTGGTGACACCAACATGGCCCCTTGATGTCCTCTGGGCATTATTCTTGTTACCCAGTTTTGGTGTAGAAGCATGGAACTGTGGTTTAGAGCGGGGATGGCCATTGTTGAATCCTGTCTCCATCTGCAGGGGACAAGACGGGAACAACAGTGTCCTGAGGTCACAAAGTATGTAGCCAGGCCCTGGCTGCCTCCTCTTCCTGCTTTTTGACAAGAAGAACAAGGCGAAGAGCATTTGCTGTCCTGCCATGTTTGTCAACACACCAAAAGCCCTGAGTACCTGAAGGTGAGATGTTTCGGGAGCCGGGAGAATTCCTGGGAGGACCCTGCCAATCCCTTGGGCACATCTCCAGAGAGACAAATCCCCTGCTTGGCTTCCCAGCTGGCCATGCCCATTGCCCATAGACAATGCCCCTCTGTGGGGTGCTAGGGCCCAGTGCCAGGGCCTGGGCCAGCATCAGCTCCTGCATCCTGCCATGTGCTGGAACAGCAAGGCCCGCTTCGCCTCTGCAGGTCCCTGGCTCAGACCCCGCACCTGCCCTCAGTACCGCGTGGCTGTCCTCAGCCTGCTGGGGCCTCTTGGCCTTGGTTTCACTCTCCTCAGCTCCCAGGCCTTTGCTTGTGCCATGTCCTCTTTCTGGAGTACCCCCTCCACCCCCCTGAAAACCCAATCGTGCCCTGTCTGGGAAGAAGTGCAGGAGGGCGGAGGAAGCCTGTGGAGGCTAATGGACGCGACTGGGATTCCTGCTCTGTGCTGACAGCTGTCAGCCTTGGGAAAATTGCTTCTTCTTTATGAGACTGTTTCCTCCATTGTAAAATGGGACTATTTTGAGGGTCTTGTAAGGTCATGAGAAATGCTTGGAACATCAGATAATTTGAAGAGTGATACATGCTATTTTTATTGAAATATTAAGACCATTGACCTTCAAGGTCCAATTCTGGCTGGCAATATCTAGTCGTGCGCAGTGGCTCACGCCTGTAATCCCAGCACTTTGGGAGGCCGGCACTGGTGGATCACCTGACGTCAGGAGTTTGAGATCAGACTCCTGATCTCAAAAATATTACCTGGGCATAATGGCACACACCTGTAGTCCCAGCTACTGGGGAGGCTGAGGCAGGAGAAATGCTCGAACCCAGGAGGCAGAGGTTGCAGTGAGCTGAGATCGCGCCACTTCACTCCCACCCGGGCAAGAGTGAGACTCCATCTCACACACACAAAAAAGAAGGTAACGTCTGCATAAAGCTGCCTGACCGCTACTCCACCGGGCCCAGATGTCCTCCTCCTGGCATGTTTGGCTGCTGGCCACCTTTCAGCCCTCATGTCTCCTCTCGCTCCCACCCCAGGGCCCGCGCAGGTGCCGGCCTTCTCCCAGGAGCATGCTCCTTCCAGCTCTCATTCTGGTTTCTTATTCACCAAGTCTTAGCTTCAGTGTTGCCCCTTGTGGGGACAAGGGGACCACCCTGTCTAAGGTAGGGCTCTTTTGACTGCACGCTGAGGGCGTCCTCACTAGCAGTTGCTGGAACTGGGTCTGAAAACTCGAGCGTTGTTTTAGGAACCATGATTTCTCAGGTGCTCTATACCGAGGAGAGGGACTGGACCACAGCTCGAGCGTGTGGCCGAGAACCAGCTGCACAACTCCTGGGTCTCCCCTGTAGGGGACCCTGACTCAGAGTAAGGCAATAAAAGGGCCAAGAGGGAACAGAAGTTCTGCAGAGGTGTTTCTTGGGAGGCAGCTATGGTCCCTCCTCCTTGTCACTGCCTTTGGGCTGATTTTGGAGAAGTCAATTCTTTTCTCTGGGCCTCGGTCTCCCCAGCTGTAGAATAAGGATGTTGGGCTCCATGACGCTGTGGCCTGGCTGGCTCTGATGACCTTTGCTTATAGTGGAGGGAGCTCAGTACCTATGCAGTGAGGACTGGGCTGTTTCTGAGGTCAGGGTGTTGTTAGGAAGCTCATCCCCATTGACCCAGGGTCAGCGGAGGTTCTGCCAAATGAACTGCCTCCTGGGAAGGAGGGCGGGAGGTGTCCAGGCCTCGGTGCAGGCTTAGCAGGGGGGACCTTTTCAGAAACCTCCTGGGGCCTTGAGGGTGTTCCACGGAGTTGGGACATGCAATGGACTGGGATGTGTCTCCTGATGAGTTTAAGTCATGTAGCACAAAGTGACTTCTGCGAGTGGAAAATTACTGCTCTCTGCTCCCTTTGGGTAGGGTCAAAGCTTGGGTATGGGTGTGCTTTCCCAGGGCCGGGTGTGGACCTTGCAAGATGGAGGACGGTCTAGGGCCGGTTGAAGTACTTCCTAGTAATACTGCCTTGAGAGGATGCTGGAGAACCAGGGGCTGGGAGTGGCTGGAGTAGCCTGCCAGGCAGTTAGCCACAGAAGGGACTTGCCCTGGTGTGGGGGGCGCAGCTCAAGATGCTGCGCAGGGAGGTGAGAACACCTCCTTGAAGGTGATGACAAGACTTGGCTCCCAACATTTTTGGGGATCCCCAGAGAGTTGGGAGCTACCTGGCAACAGTATCAGTCAAAGGAAAACTCTCCTGCTCCACACACACACACACACACACACACACACACACACACACACAGAGAGAGAGAGAGAGAGAGAGAGAGAGAGAGAGAGAAAGGTTTGAGGGGGGAAGGA